TTTTTTTTCCTGTATTTTTTCTTAATGCTTTAACACTGACTGCTGTACAATACTGTCTGCTGGAGCCTGCATTCAGGATATGCTTTGTGGAATAAGGGGTTACTTCTGGAAACACTGAAAACCAAGAAGTGTTAGGACATCTTTAAAAGTGATTTGTCTCATGCCATTAAAATTTCCTACCTAATGTTCTTTGTGGCGTAATTGAAGTAAATCCTGAGTCTGCTAAAGTTCAGAACAAGTCATCTTTCATGTGGCATCTTTTGCTCTGCAAGCCAGAAGTGTAATTATGTTCAATTTCCCTATCTCAGGTGGCTGTATCCTGGTACTCAGTAGGAACTTTGTGCAATATGCCTGCTTTGGACTGTTTGGAATTATAGCATTACAGGTAGGAGGCTATAAGTCTTCAGAACTTCTACATCCTGTCCTTCAAATCATCCCTCTTAGCCCCCATACCACCAATGTACTGAAGTATAATCCATGGTCCTGGAATTCTTCTCCATTCCAGCCTGATGCCAGTGTCGTTGAGCTGTTTTGCTGCTTCTGTTCTTGACGTGACCAATGGGTCCTTGAATGCAAGAGCAATCAGTCAGTTTGATGTTGCTTCAAACCTTGACCAGTTTAGAAGTAACTTGCTGTTACCTGCACATCAGAAAGCTCCCAAGTGTGGAACCTGCAGTTGCTTTGGCCTTCACTATACGAAGGACTGTCTGCATCAGAAAGAGTCCTGCCTAATAGTGCACTCTCTCCAAAACCTTCTTGACCAAAGCACAAAGCTCTTCCACACTGACACGCAAGGCTCTGATCGTGTACCCTGTTTCCTGCAGTATCATGTACTTCTAATGGGCTTCTGCATTGGGTTGTTAATGTTTGATGATGTAATGTACACTCAGAATTTCAGTTCATATTAGGGTGTTTTAACATCTATTGTTCTTTGCCTAGACTATTGCATACAGCATTCTATGGGACCTGAAGTTTCTGATGAGGTATGTCTGCTTTTAAACTTCACAAAAACTCCTGTCTGTCACTGACAACCACTGGTAGAAAATGATTACTGAACATGCAGAACTCTTTGATGCAGTTGTCTGTAAACTTATAAATGGGTGCAAACTGTAGTAAAATACTGCTTTTCCATTGCTGTCTTTCCTTAGGAACCTTGCCCTTGGGGGAGGCTTGCTGCTGCTTTTGGCCGAGTCGCGCTCGGAAGGGAAGAGCATGTTTGCTGGCGTCCCCACCATGCGGGAAAGCTCCCCGAAACAGTACATGCAGCTGGGAGGCCGTGTGCTGCTGGTCCTCATGTTCATGACGCTGCTACATTTTGATATGAACTTCTTTTCTGTAAGTAACCAAGTGTAAGAGTAGCGGTAAA